TACTATGAACCAGGTGTTTTATTTATTCATGGTGATTATAATAGTCGTTGTGGCAATTTACTAGAGTATGTAGAGGGTGTGGATGTGCTTTTTGAAAGAGAGGTCGTTGATCCAACTATCAATTCCCATGGTCATGTATTTACGGATTTTCTAATTAATGCCAATTATGCTATTGTTAACGGTAGAAACGGCCGAAGTAATGACTATACATATGTGTCATCAAGAGGGTGCTCAGTGGTGGACGATTGCATATGCCCATATGACAACCTACACGGTATCACAGACTTTGAGGTGACCCGACCGAATGCACTGGTGGAAGCGGTAGGGTGTGTCTCGGGGTATGACGCTAGAACAGTGTTAAAGCTAGACCACTCGCTTCTCACGTGGAATGTGAAATTGGACCTCACGTCAGCCCTAGATGAATATAGATCGAATAATTGTGAAAAACCTCAAAGTACTGGAAAAATTAAGTGAGACACTTCAAACGTGCCAAGTGACTTTATGCAATCAGATAGACGGACTGAGCTGCTGAATGACGTCATCGACAAGTTGGATTCCAGTAAGCAAGAACAGGGTGATATTGACGAGGCATATAGTGAGTTTACAGACTGCCTGTTATCAGAACCGCAGCAAACACTTCCCACACGTACTATTGTCATTAACAACGGTAAAAGTAATAAGAAGAGGCGAACTCGGAAGGAATGGTGGAACGACAACATGTGTGTACTTTGGAATGACATGGTATCACCAGAGAGGAATTGGACTAAATGTCAGGGACCACATAAACAGCATCTTAAAAGTGTATTATGTATATAAGCGTAATTTGTTTGACAGAACTGTTCAACGGACTAAACGCCAACATACTAATGCTGTTCTTCAGGAGCTAGAAAATCTGTGTGATACGGACTCCGGAGAATTCTGGAAGAAAATCGGCCGGATAGGAGTTGGGCAGGAGAGAGAAAAGAAAATCCCAATGGAGGTGTTACTACAGGGTGGGCCTGTGAGTAATGATACGAACAGGGTGCTTGAAGAATTGAGACGATCGTACTGTGAACTTCTCAATAATCACTCGACTGAAAACCCAGTGCCTGTTTCTAATATTAACGAAGATGAAAACGATGAACTAAATGCGCCCATATCCTTTGATGAAGTAAAATTAACCATCGAAAATGGTAAATCACCTGGTCCAGATTGAGATCCCAACTGAAGTGCTCAGAAGTAATAATTGTGTACTTGTTCTCCATAAACTGTTCAATAGGTGTTTAAAAACTGGAATCCTACCATGTAGCTGGAGTAAAGGAATTATCTCCCCTGTTCCCAAATCAGGGGGTGATCCGAGGGATCCCCTGGCTTATCGAGGCATCACTCTCACTAGTTGTGTGTATAAACTTTACTGTGGTATTCTCAATCGAAGATTGACGAAACATGTGGAAGTCAATGATCTACTTCATGGTTCACAAAATGGATTTAGAAAAGGCCGGTCAACTGTAGAACACGTATCTAGTCTTACATCCATAATAAAAACCTGTAAATCCCAACGAAAATCAACGTACACTGCCTTCATTGACTTCCGTAAAGCATATGGTAGCCTTCACAGAAACCTCCTGTGGGAAAAATTGACTGAAACGGACGTAAATTGCAACATGTATCAAGCTCTTGTCTCCATATACAAAAACGTTCAATGCTGTGTGCGAATCAACGGACTCAATTCACCATGATGTCCGATGTGGTCTAAAACAAGGCTGTTTGCTATCACCGCTATTATTTAATATGCACATAAATGATCTGTTAGTTACCATTAGTAATTTGTAAATTGGTGTGAATGTCGATGATAACAATATCTGTATTTTAGCCCTATGCTGATGATGTCGTCCTTTTAGCCGAGAATGAAGATGATTTAAATGTAATGTTGGATGTTTTACATATGTGGTGTGACAGTAACAAAATGACCGTCAATGTATAAAAGACAAAGGTCATACACTTTCGACCTCCATATACAGCTATGTGTACATGTATCTTTAAGTGTGGTGATGATGTCATGGAAATTGTGGAGAGTTATAATTATCTTGGTTTGCTCCTTTCTGAGCATTTAGATTATAAACGTATGGCTAAAGCTGCACCTGCGTCTGCTGGTAGAGCTCTTGGTTTGCTTATTATAAAGTTTAAACTTCTTGGTGAAATGAATTATCATACTTTTACAAAGTTGTATAACACAATGGTGTGGTCTACCCTAGAATATGGGTCATGTATACGGGGTGTGTATGAGTTTTCATGTGTAAATGCGGTACAAAATAGAGCTATGAGCTTCTTTTTAGGTCTACTTAAATTTGCACCAATTAATGCTGTAATTGGTGATATGGGCTGGACACCAACAATTATTATGCAATGGTGTAGTTTTGTCAGATTTCATAGACGTTTATGTAATATGGACCCTGATCGGATAACATAAAAAATATTTGTATGGGGCAATATCAAAGCACTTTTTAATAAAAGAAATTGGGTTTTTAGAGTAATAAAAAAGCTATCCGATCTTGGCCTAAATCATTTTGCTAATATCTCCAATAATTATTATGCCAAATATGTAGTAACTGTTGCATCTGTCAAGAGTAAAATGTATGATATATTTCGTACAAAGTGGAGTGAGGATGTGTGTCAGGCATAAAGTGTAAATGGTACAGGAGGAAACAAATTAAGAATGTATTGTAATTTTAAGTATTTTCCAAATTGTGAGTTTTATGTTAGTAATTATATGTCTTGTTCTTATAGACGAGCAATTGCTAGTTTTAATAGTTTAACAGCCCCTATAACGATTAAGACGGGACGATACGATGGTACAGTTCTAAATGAGAGATATTGTTTTTAATGTCAGAATATATTAGAAGATGAATGCCATGTTATACTTAAATGTCCTTTATACAATGTGGAGAGATCCCAGTTACTTGATCTATATTTTAACACTTGTCCAAATTTTGATATTTTGGTTGATATTGAAAAGTTATGTGTTATACTGTCCAGCCATGATATTTGCTATGTTGCGGCCAAAACCTGCTATTATATTTTAAAGAAAATAAAAGAAATTTTATATCGTCGTTAAACACGTTGTTTATATACTGTTTAAATATATATCTGTATATATGTGTAAATAGTATATATAGTCTCTCATAACTCCATGTGGAGTGGCTAAAATGTTAATAAGATGCTGTATGTTATAATGTACATTTATGAGGTGAGACTTAAATACAAATATGCCTGTCTGTCTGTCTGCCATAGAGTCAAGGAATACAATGATATAGTCTGTGTGCTGGAAAGAAATAGTAAACAAACCAGATTACTGAAATTTAAATCTGTCTGAAAGTAAGATAAAATCATGCACAGAATTTTTGTGTTAGTTTCTTTAGATTTATGTGGATTGCCAGACAGGACCGAGTTAAGATCATATTCATTCAGATAATAATACATATACAATGATATTGCAATATAAAAGGCAGAAGAAAAGTAGTGGAAAGAATCTTCACACTGATGACCACAGAGATAGTAAGAGTGAGGCAATAGATGTCGCGTGAACTTGTTCAAATTTAAATCGTAACTGTTACATAAAGTGAAGCATCGTCTGCGAAAAGACGGATTTTCCTTTTGGTGACTTCAACAATGCCAGTATAAAATGAACAATAGCGGCTCCAAGACAGACCCCTTGGGCACACTGGCTATAACTGATTTAGTATCAGATTTGGAACCCTGTACAACAACATGTTGTATTTTATATGAGATATGAGTTTTACCATCTATGAATGTTACCAGTAATTCCATATTTTCGTAGTTTAAATAAAAGACCCTCATGCCAATCTGTACAAAAAGGTTTACTAATGCCACAGAGTACGTCCCTAAGCTCTTCAGGGTTTTTACGATCCATCACACATCTTTGTGCTTGATAATGGCTTTGTGTCTGGGTTTTTCACCAATTTAAGCTGCTGCTCTTGATATTGTTGATTAACCTTTGATACAACGTACACTATATGAGAGGATGACTTTGGAATGCTAACAGGCGTTATTATATGTCCAAGATGACATAAATGTCATGTGTGGTACACCCAGTATCTTACATATAAAGGAAACATTTCATAATTGAATTCAGCAGTCCCACATAATTTGGCCTGACACTACCATGCCGAATACAATGTATTTTCGTGCCGCACTACCAGCCAAGCAGTATAAAACAATGCTGATATCAACCCCCCCCCCCCCCCCCCCCCCCCCCCTCTCCCATGTGTTGATATGTCGCAGAGTGAGTGAGTGACACACTAAATGTACATAATATACACGTAAAATAGGCTCATTTCCTTTGGTATAACTGGGGACATATTCCCTCTCGTTCATAACGATGGGTCTATGTATAAATTGTTCAGGGGAATTTTAATATCAAAACGTCTATATACAAGCATATACAAGCGCCGTCAATGTATGCCCCGAGTTTCACGTAAATTAATTGGAAACGAACGTAAATACACACGATCAGAATGAATGGTTATTGAATAATTAAATGGTTTGTCAGGCAATCAATACTTTCGATAAATAAACACTATCGCAAGATTTCAGATTTGCATGTCATGCTGATAGCTATCATTGTGTGTGGTTTGTAAATAGTATATTGTCCTCAAGCATAACAATTGCGTCATCGTCAATGGAAGTTTGATAAAAAATAAGAATAATACATGAACCTGCAGCTGGGTACTTTAAGAATGTGTTATATTCCTCATTACTATCACCCTGAGACGTAATGGCAGGATAGACCGGTTGTAGTGAGGAGTATCAGGGCATCTGCCCCCCGGAATACTGCCCTTAGGCAAATGCCCCCACAAAAATTGACCCAGGGAAAGTATCCTAATCAATGACAGAATATAGCGGTTGTATTTATCTCTGACAGCTATCAGTTCCAGGTAACCGCAGTTACCGTGTATGTTATATATAGGGATTCTACCGACCAGCTCGTTGAAAGGTCCCTCAGCCATTGTCGTCAACAATCAGACCACTGTAGCGATCGTAAGTAAGGCTTACATTTCGTGATTGATTTCGTAATTGTTTTAACGTTTCTTTCAGTATTTTATGAAGTGCCATATTTCAGAGATTTTGTTCATCTCTTTATCACATATGTGTTAGAAATTCTCTACAGAGAATTTTATTTCCTTATTATTTCATTTATTGTCATATGACAAACATTAATTATTGATAAGATGAATGTTATGAATATACTTTCAAAATGAATGCAAATGGCATTAAATGTATAAGATGTAATGGCTTTTTGGAAATAGATCCTGGAAAGTTTAAGACAAGTTTTAATGTTTTCATTACGCGTTAGTGAATAACATCATTAATCCATGTACATCTTTGGCTCCTTGGTATGAGTCCCAAACAATGCAAAATAAATACCTTGAAAAATATATGTAAACAAATTAGAACGAATTACTAAATGCCAAACATGTACATTAACGTCTGGTAGCATTGGTTTGTGTTGGATTAATGTTTGATTCCGCTCCAAGCGACTTTATTTTGGGTGACGATTCATGACATAATACATTCCCGAAAAATGAAGACATTTTAACACGTGTCTCTGTAAAGTCACCTTAATAATACAATTACGTAATGTGGCTGTGAGGCCCACATCGTGAGAACATTTTTTATTACTTTTATTGTCTAGAAACTTTCTGTTTAGAAATATCGTTAAATTATCTTTCACTTGAAAATACTGTCCATCGCTAAATATCATTGTTTAGCACATGGTTCACTGGATAGGTGCTTACGCTGACAAAGTGAGCTTGTTTTATATTTTGTGATCAGAAAGTTACATCAGCACTAGCAGTAAATATAAAAAATGAAAACATTTGCTGAATCAGACATAAGTTTTCAAGTTATCACAGTTGAAAATCAATCTTCAGTGAAGAACACCAATCTACGTCCTCAGAAGAAATAAACCAAAGAACATATTGTAACATGTAAAATACATGAAATAGAGAGATACAGGGTGCAGAAATTCAATATATGGTGATAATACATTTTAAAAAACAAAAACAAATGCAACATACCAGAAATAGAAAGATACTTTTTGAGATATCACTCTTAATCCCCTATTGTTTTTAGATTGAGCAATCTTATTCTTATGTGCAGGAAACGTGCGAAGACCCCTAGGGCACATTGACCACATTGTGTCAAATAAACCCTGCACCTTTGATTCTCTTGATCTTGCTCATTTCAGTCAAAATATAATACATGTAGAAAACAAAGCAAATTAGAAAGTATGGGATATTTACTTGTGAACATGTCATAAAAAGTTGTGTGGTGATATTTCTAAGGAACTATTATTTGTAATAATGACCCAACTATATCTTTTTAAACCAAAAACAATGTACGAATACTTTTGGCCTTAAGAAGAGCCAAGAAAATGCCAATAAAAGAAGATTGAATATGTTCTTAATATAATAATATCCACAACTGTCGGATGTTACCATACAAAACGTTCTCAGGAGGTGTTTTATGTGGGAAATGAGTGACTTTGGTTTAACACCGCTTTTAACAGTATTCCAGTTATATCGCGGTATGGGGAATGAATATAGCCTGCCAGAGTAAATTTGTAGTGAATGTTTAATACTTTGCAGTTGGGAAATCTTCAGGGATTTCTATTTGTGGACCACACCTTCTTTATTTTACTGTAATAGCAACGTTTACAGATCCTTCTACCGTTGCCAAGGTTGACTGAATAATGAGCACGGTACAGAATAAATATAGTCGGTGGAGGATAAACAGTACCAACATGGGAGGTGGATGGGAATGAAATGCCTTGATCTCTGTTGATTGATGGCTAATGGCGGCGAATCTGGACTGCTTCTGTTAGTTTTAGTGAACTCGCAGGGGTTGTTGGATGGGATATGGACATTCATTTTCTAATTGATGTTGTGATTGGGGCAGTTGGTGATACGGTCCGAGATGGCTGATTTACTGTCTGATTTGATGGTTGAGGTTTTGTGTTCTTTGATTGTGGTGTTTGAGGGGCGTGATGTTTCACCTACATAGGATTGTCAGTCAATTTTATTCTACACCTTTAGGTTCTTTGAGTGAACCATGAAATGAGATCTGTAAACATCGTAAATTGCCCCTTTTAATCGTGCAATATACCATCTGCTCCAGCTAATGACGTTCGCATTTCTCAATTGTTTAGGTACTGTAGAGTAAAGGCCTGGTTAAGTCAGAGAAATATAATGATACACATTGAAAGGAATTCACCAAATATGACACGTCGCTTGTCAACATGATCCGCCGTGTTATCCCATACGACGACCTGGGGTTTTCACACCTCCTTCCTCGCATTCAGTTACTTAATGAAAGTTTGGTGAGTGGCTGGTATCTTAATATTGCACTTACTCTAGAATCAATCCTAAATCCACAAAATAAATTAGAAAAATTCAAAGCCTTAGGCATATACTTAATTAAAACAGGACTAATAAGTCGCATTTAAACCCAAAATAAACTAATAAAACCAAAATCACATAAACTAACAAACCACCCAGCACACACAGCTCCCTTAGTTTGCCCCTACCCACTCTTGGCATTCATTCCAAATCTCAAAATCTCAGAATTACTATATAAGCAACCCTTAAACCCCCCTCCTGGGTTGCACCACCACTTCCTTTTCCCCCCTTCGGAAACACATTAAATGGCCTGACGGACCCGTGTGCGACAAACGCTTGCAAAGCGCACGTAAAATCTCAAATGTCAGTCAGTCAGTCAGTCAGTCAGTCAGTCAGTCAGTCAGTCAGTCAGTCAGTCAGTCAGTCAGTCAGTCAGTCAGTCAGTCAGTCAGTCAGTCAGTCAGTCAGTCAGTCAGTCAGTCAGTCAGTCAGTCAGTCAGTCAGTCAGTCAGTCAGTCAGTCAGTCAGTCAGTCAGTCAGTCAGTCAGTCAGTCAGTCAGTCAGTCAGTCAGTCAGTCAGTCAGTCAGTCAGTCAGTCAGTCAGTCAGTCAGTCAGTCAGTCAGTCAGTCAGTCAGTCAGTCAGTCAGTCAGTCAGTCAGTCAGTCAGTCAGTCAGTCAGTCAGTCAGTCAGTCAGTCAGTCAGTCAGTCAGTCAGTCAGTCAGTCAGTCAGTCAGTCAGTCAGTCAGTCAGTCAGTCAGTCAGTCAGTCAGTCAGTCAGTCAGTCAGTCAGTCAGTCAGTCAGTCAGTCAGTCAGTCAGTCAGTCAGTCAGTCAGTCAGTCAGTCAGTCAGTCAGTCAGTCAGTCAGTCAGTCAGTCAGTCAGTCAGTCAGTCAGTCAGTCAGTCAGTCAGTCAGTCAGTCAGTCAGTCAGTCAGTCAGTCAGTCAGTCAGTCAGTCAGTCAGTCAGTCAGTCAGTCAGTCAGTCAGTCAGTCAGTCAGTCAGTCAGTCAGTCAGTCAGTCAGTCAGTCAGTCAGTCAGTCAGTCAGTCAGTCAGTCAGTCAGTCAGTCAGTCAGTCAGTCAGTCAGTCAGTCAGTCAGTCAGTCAGTCAGTCAGTCAGTCAGTCAGTCAGTCAGTCAGTCAGTCAGTCAGTCAGTCAGTCAGTCAGTCAGTCAGTCAGTCAGTCAGTCAGTCAGTCAGTCAGTCAGTCAGTCAGTCAGTCAGTCAGTCAGTCAGTCAGTCAGTCAGTCAGTCAGTCAGTCAGTCAGTCAGTCAGTCAGTCAGTCAGTCAGTCAGTCAGTCAGTCAGTCAGTCAGTCAGTCAGTCAGTCAGTCAGTCAGTCAGTCAGTCAGTCAGTCAGTCAGTCAGTCAGTCAGTCAGTCAGTCAGTCAGTCAGTCAGTCAGTCAGTCAGTCAGTCAGTCAGTCAGTCAGTCAGTCAGTCAGTCAGTCAGTCAGTCAGTCAGTCAGTCAGTCAGTCAGTCAGTCAGTCAGTCAGTCAGTCAGTCAGTCAGTCAGTCAGTCAGTCAGTCAGTCAGTCAGTCAGTCAGTCAGTCAGTCAGTCAGTCAGTCAGTCAGTCAGTCAGTCAGTCAGTCAGTCAGTCAGTGAGTGGCGGGTGCTACCGGTAGGGCAGAGCAGGATATTGTTACCCATTACGGAAACACCTGGCATCATCATTGATTTTCAGTGATTCATTCATATAATTGTCATCACTATTTTGCCTTTTAGGCTCCACTGAATCTGTCTTGGCAGATATTCGAGACTAATTATTCTATGGCGTTGACCTTTTGGAATTAGCTAGGTTACTGTTAACAAGAGAAACGAATCTATCATATTATGGATGACCGACCTCCTTCATACTCATTTCTTTTTGTCTCGGGTGCGTTCACAATCTGTTTGATTGTTTATTAGCAACAGTTATTTGAATGTGAATTTGTATTTTCAGACAGACAGATAATGTATTACTTTTTCACCTAATATATATATATAAATAGTAAAATAGAACATGTTGCTCTACACAGTATTCAACCACGGGCAAATCAATGAAGCTCAAAAGCACAGACGCCTCACATGCATAAAGATTAACTTAATCCCAGCCAACTCATTACCTAACTGTAATTGTTTGTTTACACATGTCACAAAAGGGTGGTGGGAAAGGCATTGATGTGATCTTGGCAAACAAAGGCACCGAGACGTGTCAGATCCGTAATGACATTGGTGAGCTGAACATGTTTGTTCAAGTGAACCAGGCAATAAATCCTACTATTGCCCTGTCGCATGTCAGCTAATGTATTGTCTATCTCCAACCTACTTGTAGGCTAGAGTTAGCGTGTCTGAGTCCCACTGCGTTTTGAGAATTCCAAAAAATTGCAGATGTTTTCGGATTATCCAAACAAAAACCAGAATTGATCACTATTGGGGGTTTTAATTACGGAAAGGTTGTTTCTTGTTAAACGACGCAGTCGGCAGTGTTTCAGCCCTTTCATGACAGCCTATAAATATTCGTCTCGGGGCCAACAAACCATTGGTTGTTAATAGGAAAATGCACTGCATTGGAGATTACGGGTGGTACGCAATCAACCACCCGATATTTTGATTGGCCCCTTACGGCAAGCTACTGTCGATCTGTTCTAACCTCAAATCCCCATTGGGATTCGTATTTGATATAATGATGTACACGTACGTTGTGATTTAGTTTATCAAAAACAATACCAACAAATGTGTGCCCATTTCTGGTGTCCCCCGCCGTGATATTGCTGGAATATTGCTAAAAGCGGCGTAAAACCATATTCACTCACTCACTCTGAAATGTAACAGAATCTAAACAATGAAAAAGGCAAGGATCTTACTCATACTCATCTCAGGAAAACATACTAATCAAGACTGCTCTTAGTTTACAGTGTACGTGTGTTGCAGACAGACCGAAAATGCGAAGCAGATCCTACATAAATGTACAAAATATTAAATAACATCATTATTCTTATCTTTTCTGTGAACAATAAATGTTAAACACTGGATTATTGATAATGGTGATGTAATCCCTAGTACTATTATAATATCCGGTATTTGTTCAATGTAATTTCCCATGTATAACATGTATAATTTATTGTTTGTTTCAGAGTTGGCACCATGGCTTCATGCAAGAAGATGTTGGCAATGATGTTATTGATAACATGGTGTGTGGTTCTTGTTAAATACATGTACACCTCGCCAGCAACAACATTGAACAACGAACAGTATAATCTAGCACTCAAAACATCGAATAATCCTTCATCTAAAAGCATCCCACCATTCAATCAGCACTCAAGCATCCTGTCGCATTTATTGACAGGGCACTGGAAAATACGACCACTGACGAAAACGGAAGACGAACAAATATCGAACTTTCTTTCTGACGCAAATGCCCGATACCGTTTCCCTACGAATTATCAAAGGACCGACGGTCTCTGTGGAAATGTTACCCACATCAAATCTAAAGCTGCTGAGTGGATAAGGGCCTTGTGTGATCCGAAAGGAACAACACCTTGCTGCTTCAACAACAAATGTGCTTTGAAGTCTGTGGAGGAATGCGTGTGTCCTGATTGTTATGATATGAGGAACCAGAAACATGCTGAATATTCCACCTGGATACCATCAGACACGAAATACGTCTACAAGGAACACAGCCCCCAAGAAGCTTGTAGCATCCTCAATGGTAGCACGATTCTGTTTGTTGGGGATTCTCTGGTTCGTCATGTGTACACGGCTATGCTGCTTGTTGTTACAGGGAATATGAAAGATGGAGCTATGAGGGATAATGTACCACAGAGTAAGTTCAAATGGTTCAATGCGTTCAGCTAATAGAATATTTCCTGCTGAATCTAAACGAATGAACGAAGAACAGTTTTGTAATAGAAGTGCATATAATAAATATGCACAGTTATGTCAATGTCAAAATAGAAGGAAACACTCTAATAGACATACATTTATAGTAATATCAACACAGACGTGGATGTGTGTTTGTTTGTCTGTTTAATATGACTTGTTTATTACTTTGAGAAAACCGTAGAAGTCCTGATATAAATAAGATAAGCCTTCTTGTGGAATATGTTGTTAACGCTATGTGCTTCACATACTGCTTTAGATGTATTCTGAAAGATATTATAGCAGAAGCAAAACATTGGTCATTGAATGTTTAGTATTATATTTGCCTTGCCATGTTGAAGTATATTTACAAAAAGCCTTATTTTGTCTTTCAGATATTAGAAACATGTGTAGCGGAATGTACATGTTCACAGAAAAGGTTTGTCGACTGAATTTGAAATATGGGTTTAGTGCTTGCAATGGTGCAGTTAACCTGGATCTCAAGTACTACTTCTATGCAGCTTTTGGCCCAGAGTTGAAACAAAGTGCCGAGAAACTAAATAGCAAGTCTTTACTTTTTACTGGCGTAGGAATTCACAGTCATTATAACCATAAAGAGATCCAAAAGTCGTTTTTGTTACCAACACTCAAGTACATAGAGAACAATACGAGACCTTGGCCAAAAGTTATGTGGGCAGCTAGTCATGCCCCTGGTATCATGAAGTCCCCGATGGTGTCGTCCCAGTCTTATGACAGTGTGAAACTCTTCAATGACAACATGGATCCTTTCCTCAGATCTTGGAAAGTTCCTGTTTTCAATACTTTTAACATGACCGATGGAATGGCGAGTTTTGATGGTGAGCACTACGGACTTGGGATGAATGTAGTGAAAGCAAATCTTCTTCTCAGTTACCTACATGAATTAAAAAATAAAGGATTGTGGTGAGATTGTCTGTGTCGGTCTTATTGAGTTTTAGTTATTTCTATTTGACAAAGAAACCAATACGAAAACAGTTTGTACGTATCTGTTTACAATCGTTGTATTTTGAGTGAAATCAAATATATGCATAATATATGATATAGCCGTATATTTTAACAGTTTCATGTTTATATGTATGTCGAAATAACACGACATTATGTATGTTAAAATATTTTCCCCTAAGATGAGAGATATTTATCATGTAACATAGTGACCAATTTGCACCTTCTCATTCCAAACAGGGGTTGTGAAGGATTTGGAATTGAAAGGCTTATCGACAAGAGTTATGCAAGTATTTCAATAAAATGACCATCATCAGAATTTTAATTCATTATTCTAGAGTCAAGCCTTCATCTAACTAGTCATCTAACTAATAAATTCTCAACATTTTCGAGATTTTAGTTGTATCATACTTTTATCCTTTTCCTGATGCAAGATTCTTGTCAGCAGTCGGCTTGATACACCGAGTTCTTAAAATAACAGATAGATTGTATCATGTTTCTAACGGAGAGCAACAAGAAACTATTAATCAATATCTACAGATATGTAGATAAGCTTAAAGACAGCCATATTACACGAGAGTGTAAATAAATAATCTACTCCATAACAATTCTGATGGTTTGTATTAATTTGATTCTCTCAATATATAGGTGTTGTCAAGCGAGAATGTTTTGGTATAGTAAATATCCTGTATTAGGAAAAAAACATTTTATTTAGTGAACCTTGTCGATCTGATATGGAAACTAATCCCGCTGGTGTTCTCGCTAAACTGTTTCGCAATTTGTACCTCCAAAGTTGCGCAAACTTGTATAATGACCCGGCGACGTATATGTAAGACTCTAATCGCTGGTACCTTTGACTATTATTTGGATAATGGTAACAATTCTTCCAGCAATTTGTCCAGATCCCCTATGGTTAATTCTGACTCGATAGGCGATAGACAATGGATTTTATGTTTGCATATTTATCCGTATGTGACCCAATCGGATTTTATCCGTTGGCCTTATCTTGCCGAGAAACCCATCCATTATATGGTATTCCGTAGGGGATATTTTGTTTCGGGGTGCAACTACAGGAAATACACCAATGTCTGGCAATGAAAGTAAGTGATTTACGATAACATCAAGCTCCCAAACAGAACATTGTGACAGCCATGAAGCACATGACTCCGGAGAGCACGTGCAAGGGGTGGTTTGCCCGATTTACCATTGTCACTTAGACTCTGTAGACTGTCAGTTTTACCTAAAGTCATGGCGATGCATACTATAGAAATGATCCCTTAAAGTATGATCTTAAGAATTTGTTATATGCTCATGGCTTCGGACATGTGTGGGGATTTCAAGGTGCTGGTGACCCTGAATATGTTATAAGTGAGTTTATACTGAGGGCTGAGGACTGTCATGCACAAACATGGTATTCTGAAGTGTCTGGATGCTCGAAATTAGAACTGTATTCATTATAAAGACATCATTATCACTTGAACCGTATCTATTAAATGTATTATCAAAATGCTTACCCTTTTACGTATTGGAGAACTGGGAATTATGCATAACACAGGAAGGAGGGATGGCATCGTTAAGACACTCCTGTTTTGTCCATTGTGCCAGTTAAGGGCAGTTGAAATTCATTTCATTCTTGTTTGCCCTATTTATGCCCTATTTATGAAGATATTCGCTAAAAATGTCCCATATTTAGACTTTATTACTGGTAATAATCGTAAAGATATACCAGTTTGAATGTTAAAATCTTCTGATGTAAACTGTCTTGAGAACTTAGCCAATAATGTTAAAGATGCTATCTGTCTTCGTTCTTCTTACCCGTTCATATTATTTATGCAGCACTTGATGTGAAACTAAATTGTATATATCTGTACGTGGGCCTGAGGCCTTATTACCGAATAAACTGATTGACTGATTACAAAGTAGACTAGCTTGTGAGCAGACACATATTGTTTTCTTGGAACCTAACGCTCAAAGACACTTAATTAAACACATTTAATCATTAAGGAAGCAACAACATTGATCATGCGACGTTTGCAACGCGCTGAACGTTAACATTTGTGGGTTTCACCGAAGTGGTAAACGTCTGAGAACTGCATCACTTGGGGCTTTCCTCCCACATTAAGCTGGCACGCCGGGATATAACTGGAATACTGTTAAAAGCGGCGTTAAACCCAACCCAATTATGAATGGTACTTAAAGTGGTCAACTGTAAAATGATGTACTATGCATGTTGAAAAAGTTTAAGAGGTAAATCGTCATAAATCGGACAACACATAATAACATGCACCTCGTCTTGCACGGCACTGTTATTGCACAGGGGATACGTGCGTTGATCAACAGGAAGATTCTCATATGACCCGGCTTCTAACGGAATGAGGAAAACAACGCATCGAAATTTCGTTCAGGCGCTTCTAAATCTTCCGGGCAATGTAACTGTTGCATAGTTTTCCGCGCCGTATGTGCGTGTAAAACAAACGATGTGATCTTAGTTTGCCAGTGTTGTCTGCTGGTTTTTACGACCATCTTGATAAAGCATTTTTAACATTGAGCTTGGGTAAACAAATATTACATTGATTATATATGTTATGCTTGACACAAACTTGGTGTACTTTATACTTCCAATTTATACATTTAGCTGACTGTTTACCTTCTGTTCATGAGAACAACTTTCTCAATTTGAAATCATTCATATACTCTTAAAAAAAAGAAACGCAAAGCCAGATTTGTGTGAGGTAGGAAAATACATTTATACGAGGAACCGTACAAGGTATTGAGCCAAAATCTTTTGGTGAGAACACTTGGTGATTGTAGTCATCTCAATTATCGGTACATAGGACAATTCCAAGGTGAAGGTGAGCTATCATCAATAACGCGTATGTCCCCCGTTGGAATCGATAGCGATCTGCCATCTCCTGCCTATGGAAGAGACGAGTATGCGAATCACATCCTGGCGAATGGTAGCCCACTCGGCCTGCAACGCCAACGCCAACTGCTGCAACGTCTGGGGTTATGCTTGACGGCGACGTAGCCGTCTATCCGATTCATCCCACACGTGCTCTATCGGGTTCAAATCTGGAGATCTGGAGGGCCAGGGGAGAACATCAACGTGGTTGTTGTGTGAATAGGCTCTTATGATCCGTGCTGTATAGATTTTGCGCAGTCCGGGTATTTGGGATGCGGTTGAGGTGGCTGTGGTCGTAGATGGCGCAGTCGGATGTAGCGATCTTGGGCGGGGGTGGTTACTCTTGGTCGTCCTGACCTTGGCCGATCACGTGTTGACCCATGCTGTTGAAACCGATCCCATAGCCTTGTGTTTGTACTGGGAGCTACATTAAAAAAACCTGGCTACAGCTTATCGGGACTTCCTTGACGTTGTTCGCAGATACCAGGCAAACAAAAACTCTGCACTTTAATACCGTTCATAGTGCTGCTGCAAGTGCAGTGCGTGCAGTTCCATGGTCCTTTTGTTAATGCACTGGGAGCATTTTTCCGAATCGTACGTGTTTCCCGACTAAAGGTTTGCATGTCCTTGTTGTGATCATTTTGATTCGAGAAATTTGCCACTGACACTGTAACACATTAAACCTCTTCATTTTGCACCTCTTGGTCCGCTAATTTTGCGTTTATGGCCAAAATATCCGTATTGCGTTTCTTCTTTTTGAGAGTATATATACCCGTCTTCTCCACGGACCAAGCACAGTTTTCCACTGAACAATATATTCAGTGGTTCCCCGTCGTTGTCACCACTTGTTGCCTTATTTGGAGTACATTTCCCAACCACAGGGAAACATCTACACCCTTGGATCTGAATGATGTATATTAGAGCATCGTCATTAGATCCCCATGTAGCAGCACCGTACATGATAATAGGTAAGACAGTGTAGTTTTATAACTTTGTAAAAACTTGAAACAACGTACCACCAATTGCGTAACTCCTAGCAATCAAGAAACCTAATGCTCTGCTGGCAGACTGAGCTACCGCTTCAGCTGTAATACCGTAATCTAGGAGGCCTAAGTAAGTACACCTTCCAAATTACCACAACTTAAAATATAAAGGGAACGCGAGGCTGACGGAATACGAAAGTGCACAATATTAGATTTATCAGCGTTTTCTTGCATGTTGTCATCTACACATCATCTTCCAAGGTAATCGAGCAAGATAATGTTTCCAACGGTGTGAGTGAGTTGAGTATAACGCCGCTTTTAACAGTATTCCAGTTATATCACCCCGTGTCAGCTTAATGTCGGAGGAAAGCCCGAAGTGATGCAGGCCTCAGACGTTTGCCACTTCGGCGAAACCCACGAGCACAGGTATTGTGCTGACAAACCTAGAAACATAATCGGGGCGAACCGCGATTCGAAACCGCAATCATAGGTTTCTGGCGTGCCCAAGGGACGCAACTCTGAACAGCGAATCACGGGGCCTTAGACGACTGGGCCACCCGTGCCCCCTGTTTTCAATGGAGCCCATATCAGTTGCATCTATCTCTATCAGTTACCGGTAACTGCAGTTATAGTGCAAGGTACATACAGGGGTTGTAGCGACACTTGTTCTTTTGATATCCTTGGGCCATAGTCGTCTACTACCACTCTAAACGTATAAACCACTGCACTACGTAAGTAAAACGTATATAATGATTTCGTTGTTGTTTCAACGTCCATTTAAGTAATTCTTAAAGTGTCATTTTGAAGAGATTTTTGTCACCTCTTTTTGAAATTCTCTTCCAAGTTGTTCAGTTTTTCATTATTTCGTTTATTGTCCCATGATACCATTTATTATTGAATATGAGATTAATGTTCACAATATGATTTAGAAATGAATACAAACGACATCAAGTGTATTAGACTCTAAACGGCTTTCTGGAAACTTTCTGAAAACTATTTTCATTTGGGGGTTAGTGCATTACCGCATTTAACCCATATATATCACTAAACAAATCCCCATTAGATAGCCTTTTTGATTACAACCCGCTGAGTTTTGAAATATACGTACGGCATTAAAGAGATTCTATACCAACGTGTGTATTTCAACGAGTGATAGCTATAGATTTTCATCTCAAGGTGTAACCTGGAAATAAAGTGCGCAAGTGTCTCCAAGACCGATTGTAAGAAACGTTACGATGCCGATTCGAAACCTTTGTTCATAATAGCGTTTATATACACAAACACCGCCAGGTAAGAAACTTCTGCATTCAACGGTGAGGGGAGCCCGCGAGACGAGCCATGCCATCGAGCCATGTCGTGTTGGCTATGTGATTTCATACGAGTAAGCAGATGGTTTATCTGTTATGAAACTGGTTCTAATTACCGCAAAGCTACACCATATGCTCAGTTCGGAGAACGAAGATTCACGACATGAGATTGCAGAGGACGACATTTCTTTCATTTACAACACGAAGTTCAAGGTGGTAAGTAGTACACTCTATTTCAAACGTTTTTGTTCGCAAGTTCTGCGATACATCACAGGCAACTGCAAATACTCACTGACTTGACATATTCAAGTAACATAGCATTAATGGAGTAAGATCAAAGAAGTATGAAGTAAAGTTTTGAGTGCCTCAAGGCTCTGTTCTTGGCCCAATACTTTTCACCATCTACACCCTACCCGTAGGAGATATAGCAAGATCTCACAATCTAAGCTTCCATCTGTATGCTGATGATACACAAAGGTATTTGGGATTCAGACCGTTGACTACATCATCAATCAGCACTGCCTTTAAAGCAATCTCAAGCTGCATAGATGACATCAGATGCTGGATGAGAAGCAACTTTCTCAAACTTAGCGATGACAAAACTGAGCTCTTGATTATCAGCTCTAAACAGATGCAGTCCAAAGTACGAGTTCCTGGTTTGAAAATTTGGGACTGTACGGTTGAGCAAAACTCTGGTGCTCGAAATCTAGGCGTGATCATTGACTCAACACTCAGTCTGGATAACCATATAAGCAGTATGTGCAAGACAGCTTACTTTCACACCAGGAACATCAGACAGATAGCAAGATATGTAGACACAGCATCAGTCAAGTGCCTAGTCCATGCATTTGTAACATCAAGACTTGACTATTGTAATAGTCTTCTGTATGGTATCCAGCAACATCATCTGGATAGACTACAGCGTGTGCAAAACACTGCTGCCAGACTTATCACACGGAAGTCAATGCGTGAACACATTACACCCGTCCTCGAAGAGCTGCACTGGCTACCTGTGAGACTCAGGATCGTGTTCAAGCTGAACTTTACATATATGTAGCCAACTTTGTAAAACTATTTACAAACATGACTGTGTGGCTCACATTGTGAGAAATACTGTTTAGAAATATCTTGACTTTGGGTGGAAATACTGTCTAATACACGTGTGGATGAAATGCACTGGGGTATGTAGCACTTTTAATATAACGTGAACAAAATTAATATAAACAATGGTCAATTTGTTTAATCATCATGCGACAGTAACATTTTACATTTAAGGATTGACTGTGTATTGTTTTCAGTTCATTGAGGTAAGAATCGAAAAACCGATGTGCAAACTGTATGAATCCGCGTTTGCACATCGGTTCATACCTCAATGAACCAAGAAAACCCACAGTCAATGTTTATAATTAAATTCGACAACGAAAACATACAATAGTTTAACCCAAAACAGTTGTTTATATCAATGCAGTCAAAAATGACGAGATTGATAAACATTACAGGTGAAGGAATACATACTGTGGCGTGACATGAATCAGTTCATGTTTAATTTATTCACATATCTTGACACGCCCACAAAGTCAGTAGCCAATCAACGGAGAGTAGAATAAAAACACAGTTCATTGGACCTGTCAATCAAGGCCAGAGGCGAGAAGAACTGCAACGGTCAGACTGTAACGAACCGGAACAAATATGTCCGGGAGAAGGCGGCTGTTTCAAATGACATGGTCAGTTGCCGTCAGATTCGAACATTAATTCCCTGAGAACGGGAAGATACAGTTAGAAATGAAACCTGAAGACATGAAAGTTGTGGAACCGAGGCGAGCGGAGAAAAACAGTCGAGCGAGCCTGCACGTCTGCTGTTTTATTCCTTTCCGGCTTTCGATCTCAAAGGGTTGTTTGGACGATGAATATGCATGAATTTCGCTAAATGCCTCCTCATGACGATACACATGAGCAGAAGGGGAATTCCCTCGACTGTAATATTGGGATTCCCCGACTTTACGCAGTAATAAGAATAGTCCGCCTCGGTGGGCGTGGCTTAACTTTTTACATTCATTGGGAAATGAATGCAATAACACGTGACCAATTCTGCTGATCAGAATATGGGAATTTCAATTTAATTATTACATTATGTGCTGGTAAATACCTCCATTCATCGCATCTCTGTTAACTTGTTTTACATGTGCACGTTTCCATACATTTCCATGACTGTAATGGATAGGTCCGTAGTTTAATAGACAATAAAATATGTTTGATCAAATCGGACAGAACAAAATAAACGTCTTACAGTATAAGAACCTTTGAATTCGCTTGTAGCCTGGTTGCTATTCCAAGTAGTTTGTGTAAGTGAGTACAACTCGGCCACCTGTCACGGCATCCCTTGAACAATCGATTTCGTGTCAGATAAACAAGTGCCGTCATCTACAATGACACCTTCAGCAGGGAACCGCACTGACACGATCCTCATGCCAGACTTCCTATCTCCTCATCAGCTAGATAGGGTTATATTCACTTTGCCTGTACCATTCAAAGTGCTAATCCTAACAGTGTATGTTTAAGCTTGTGCGTGCGTACGTGCGTGCTCTGAAGGGTCTAAAAAATCCAAGGGTAAAGTGTATGATCTGCTGGATAGAAGCTTTCAAATGCCTGATACAACGAGGCTGATACACCGAACTTTTTTTGTAATCACTTAAATGCAAGGCTTGGTTGATAAGTCGAAGTTGTAAGTCAGCAATAGAGGAAAATACAATGAACACATTTTAATATTCAGACATGAGTGAACATGTTCAAGTAATCACCGCCTCTTTGATCTAGTTGTAGAGCACGATGCGTATTTCTAGATTAGTTCTTAGTCACGGATGGGCAGGATACGCCCATCTTTTCGCGAACACATTTTGTATCATCACAATTTGATGGTCATGTGGTCGGACATGTACATCAACTATGCTTTTGGCAGAGATTTCTTATGGATATGGAAATAGTTTTTTGTCGCTTTTATTTACATAGTCAGCTTTACCTTTTTACTTCGGAATATGAGTCAATAAGATTGGACAGCAGTCTGATTTGACAATAATGACATAATGTCTTGTACATAGGAGATAAATCCACTGTGTTTTCAACGTAGAGCTACGTCACCTGTAGATTTAACCGCACTAAATTGAATTTGATACCTCACGCTGTGTGTTCGGATCCAAATGTTAAATTTAGACGCTGTTAATTCTACAGGTAACGAAGCTCTACATTGACAACACAGCAGGTTTATCTCAATTCTACTATGACTAAAAAAAACGCGAACTCTTTGGTATTAGCAAATACATTGAGTGAAGCGACATGGGTTGAGTTCAGTGTTTTGATTGTTTTGTCGATCAGAATTGAAGCCTTTAAACAGAATATGGGACTCAATATGCTCAAGCACGTTGTTTATACCGTAATTCTTCACTGGAACTTATGACAGGAACTTAACGGATGTAGCACGGCAACTTCGTAAACTAACATGAGGTGGGCACTCCTGAAGAAAACTAAGCAAACCTTGCAACGGTTTCGTTCTACACCGCACGGCACTATTATGGCGTCATATCGCTCATTGTGACACAAAAGATCTGACGTCACAGTCGAAAATGGACAAGCGCCAAACAGCAAACTCTCTGTTGTCCTCAAAACTTAAAATACATTCCCTTTGTAGATTTCTATCGTGTTTTCTGCACGATATGTATTGAAATATTGTCGTAACCGCAGCTTTGCATTTTGTAACTTACGATTGTTCATATATTATATTTAAATATGCCTACCGACAATGACTGTTAAAGAAGAACTATTCTAAGAATGTTAGCTTCCGAGGTGATGCGGCTGTCAAATCGGCGGTTTCAATCAGAGGAGGTTTATTGTGATTCGATACCTCTCACTGACCAATCGGAATCGAATAGTTCCAAACGTCATGGTAGAATAATAATTAACCAGACTAGTATAAGGTATGTCCAATGCAATTTACAATTTATGTATACCGTAGTAACAATTCCATGACAAATATTTTGCTATTTGTTTTCCAGAGCTGGTGCTATGGTTTCACTCAAGTTGATGTTCGTAATGGCGTTATTAATTGTAATAACATCGTATGTGGTTCTTTCTAAATACATGTACATCTCGCCAAGCATGCTCAGCGATACATCTGGCAACAACGAACAGTATAATCCAGCAATCAATATTTCTTCATCTAAAAACATCCCACCATTCAATCAGCATTCAAGCATCCTGTCACATTTATTGACAGGGCACTGGAAAACACGACCTCTTACGAAAAAGGAAGACGAACAAATATCGAAATTTCTTTCTGACACAAATGCCCGATACCGGTTCCCTACGAATTATCAAAGGACTGACGGTCTCTGTGGAAATGTTACCCACATCAAATCTAAAGCTGCTGAGTGGATAAGGGCCTTGTGTGATCCGAAAGGAACAACTCCTTGCTGCTTCAACAACAAATGTGCTTTGAAGTCTGTGGAGGAATGCGTGTGTCCTGATTGTTATGATATGAGGAACCAGAAACATGCTGAATATTCCACCTGGATACCATCAGACACGAAATACGTCTACAAGGAACACAGCCCCCAAGAAGCTTGTAGCATCCTCAACGGTAGCACGATTCTGTTTGTTGGGGATTCTCTTGTTCGTCATGTGTACACAGCTATGCTGCTTATTGTCACAGGAAATATGAAAGATGGAGCTATGAAGGATGATGTACCACAGAGTAAGTTCAAATGGTTCAATGCGTTCAACTTGCGGAATATTTTCCTAATTTGAATCTGAATGAATGAACGAAGAACAGTTTTGTTATAGAAGATCATATAATAATAAAACATGCACAGTTATGTCAATGTTAAAATAGAAAGAAACACTCGAATATCGAAAATAGATCAATATCAACATAGTACAGAAGAGCTTGTTTAATATGATCATTATTTTGAGAATGTTACAGTGTAAGTCCTAATATAAGATAATATAAGCCTTTGTTTCGTATGTCTTGTTACCGTAACAACAGTATCACGTCTTACTGCTATGTGCTTGTTAGCCTGATACAGATGTATTCAGAAATATGTTAAAGTAGAAGCAGTCCATTCACAACCACTTTATTAATCATTGAATATTTAATAATGTACATTACATATGCCTTGACATTTATAAGTATTTTACAAAAAGCCTTTGTTTGTCTTTCAGATATTAGAAACACGTGTACCGGAATGTACATGTTCACAGAAAAAGTATGTCGACTGCATCTGAAGTTTGGGCTTCGTGCTTGCAATGGCACAGTTAACCTGGAACTTAAATACTTCTTCTATGCCAGTTATGGCCCACAGTTGAAACAAAGTGTTGAGAAATTAAATAGCAAGTCATTACTTTTTACTGGCATCGGTATTCACAGTCATTATGAGCATAAAGTCATTCAAAAGAAGTTTTTGTTACCAACACTCAAGTACATAGAGAACAATACGATACCTTGGCCAAAAGTTATGTGGGCAGCTAGTCATGCCCCTGGTACCATGAAGTCCCCGATGGTGTCGTCCCAGTCTTATGGCAGTGTGAAACGCTTCAATGACAACATGGATCCTTTCCTCAGATCTTGGAAAATTCCTGTTTTCAATACCTTTACCATGACCGATGGAATGGCGAGTTTTGATGGTGAGCACTACGGACTTGGGATGAATGTAGTGAAAGCAAATCTACTTCTGAGTTACCTAAATGAATTGAAAAATAGGGGATTGTGGTGAGTTTTTTTTGTCGGTGTTTGTCTAATCTAATTTTATTTAATTTTGTTTGACACAAGAATATGAAGATCCATTTTGCTGGTGGTAAATCTCATGGTTGAGTTTTGATCACATGGTTACAACACGTGGCTTCAGAGGATCGACAGTCGTGTGACTGCGAGGGTTGGTATGTAGCAGCGCGAGCATTATGTGTAAATATAATACAGTATTAATACACATTTACACGTCACATATAGAATTGGCGGCTATAAAACATTTCGACAGAGTACTTACAAGAAGTTTAAGAAACAGTGTGTTATTAAAACTCGTGAGCATTATAAATATATTTTTGTCATTAATAACGTTTTTGTCCAATATGGAATAAAAGCTTCTAAATAATTCAAATTAAGTTCTTCATGAAATTCGTAATCAGTTAAAAAATACATTTCGGTTTCACAGAGTCACAGTGTTTTCATTTCTATAATAAGTGAACGTTTATACTGATCCATTTAAATAATTTCTACCTTCATGTCAGTTTGGCGTTATTCTCTTGAAAACAAGACGTTGATTCTCGAGATAAATCTCTATTTTACTCCGAATGTCACTTTGGCGGGAATGAGGTTAACATTAGGCAACTCAATTTGTTTTTATTATTTCTGATCAACAAAGGAATCAGGATCTTCTTGGTATAAGTTTGTTATTTCTATTTCGTGCAATTGTGGATTAAGGTTGGAATGTTTGGGTGATCTAAATATATTATAAAGATAAAAGTCCTTACTTACTTTTTCTTAAAATGAGTGATGGAAAACAAGAAACAAATATGTTTCAGGTGCCACCTAATATTCTAATAACAAAAAACAAATTTCTTTACATAACGAAAAGATGGTTAGTCATGTCAGGCAAACAGTTACGTATGGTTATTGTCAAGTCCAGAACATCAAGAACTAAGAGACCAGCAAAACGCAACATGCTTCTTATGGTGGCAACGTGGCCACCATGGGTAGAATGTGCTTATCTCTATTCAACGATGTGACGTCAGAAGCCTGTTAAGCAGGAAAGGCTTACAAAGTTTCTACTTTTCTTCTGTGTTGTGACCCACGTGGTTCCAGTGGTTTCTTACCGTTGCCACAGTAACACTCAGACTGACGTCAACACGCGCTGCCACCTGACGTTGATTATCACGCCTTTGGAGCATGTCAATACCTCTGGCACGAGTTACAGTACACATAAATCGGCGCATTGTTGTCACGTTCAACTGTTTATAAACAGAGCGGCTTTATCTCAGTTTTGAATGAGTACATGAAGTTAGACTGGTTAGTTTATATATCCGTGTTTTATCCAATCCACAAAACATTTGTGCAAATTTAGTGAGAGTGTGGTGTATTTTACCATTATTTTTGTGGAATCACCTAACGCATGACTTTCTGTCAGCGCAATAGACACTTCACGGTGATTATTTATTATGCGTCAAAGTCAGATTGACCAATCAGACAGCCGAACTACTAACCCCATATAAACCCGTATACCGTCAGTAAAAATCCAAGATGGTTGTTACTGATCTAAAATGAGACCGTATACCGTCAGTAACAGCCAGTCTGGATTTTCCAACACCAATCTCACATATTTCACATGAAAATGCTGGTACAGACATTCGTTATTCGACACTGTTTTGGGTTTTAATAGCATTAATTGTGATGTGCAAAGACATTATTTTTTAAAGAAACCACGTTCGTGACCTTGTTAATAAAATTCTAGAAAAAAAGAGGCTTACAGCGGATGTCACTGATTTACCATTAGAAACGTCACAGAACATTATAGGATGACGTCACAAACAAGAAACGTGCCGCCAATGACGTCACATAGCAAAAGAATAGATAGCGGTCTGTCGATAGGAAAACGTGGACTGCTATCAAGTTACAGTAGTCCGCCTATTTCTGATAACATTTTTTATGCATTTTTATGATAGTTCTATCCATTTCAGCTATAATACTTGTTTAAACATTCACATTCCTTTGTTAACGTTTGTGTTTACATTAAAGCGTTGTATCGAAACCATGTACTGGTCCTGTCGGTTATACAAGTAGTGTAAACTTTTCGGCATAAAAAATTCGTTATGGTGTCTTTAGTTGCCGTGTACGGTGTCATATTAGGTTAGCAGAAAGATATTGGGATATACGGCAACTAAAGACACTATAACTAATAATAGCCCTATGACATACACCTTCACTGTAACGTGAGTAGAAATATAGACCCAATATGAGAACTTGCCGCACAATACATGCATACTTGACACGCACGCACTTAAAACGCTGTGTGTTCGTGTGTGTGTGTGTGTGTGTGTGTGTGTGTGTGATCGTGTGTGATCGTGTGTGTGTGTGTGTGTGTGTGTGTGTGTGTGTGTGTGTGTGTGTGTGTGTGTGTGTGTGTGTGTGTGTGTGTGTGTGTGTGAGTGTGTGTGTGTGTGTGAGAGAGATACCGTGCGGCAGTTTAACGTGAATACCCCACTCATACACATCATAGTATCCGATCCGACCACGGCAAAAACATTGAAGAGAGGTGCACTATACAGGATGTCAAAGGATTCTATGTCAGCGGGTACCTGACAGATCCAACCTCCGTCAGAGCACACACAGAGCAGAAAATGTCTCGAAATATTGTACAATCTGCGAATATGAGGATATTAAAAGAATGTATAAGACAATGCAACATGCATGTATATATGTACAGTAAACTACGGTTATAACGAACACGCTTATAACGAACTGACGGATATAACGAACTTACTTTTTGGTCCCGACTACTTGCTGTAGTCATGCTGCATATGTACTTATAACGAACAACGGTTATAACGAACTAAAATTAGTAGTCCCTTTGAATTCGTTATAACCGTGGTTTACTGTACTAAAATAGTACAAAAGCATCTCTATCAAGCCCTTTATTTCTATTTAAGACAGTGATTAATATAAGATTTCAGGAGTTTGGAGAATACATGAGTGATGCTATTATAAAAAATGATGCTGTTATACATGGAAATCCCTTTTTCCCCTTTGATACGTGTAGTATGAAATTACTTGGGTTAAGGTAAGGGTTAGCTACACACACAACCCCATCTCACCCGTTACCCTCGCACTCTGTATATATAAAATATATGTATTATAACGGCTGTCTCTTTTTACATATGATGTCGTACTTATTTTAGTGTGTAGACAGGCATGTTAAATATTTTACTATTTTGAGTGTGACACGGTTATTATGTCCTTCCAAACAACCTTTACCAAGTTTCACATTGTCACAATGCCTAATAATTCCTTAAACGCCGGACCTCAACTGAGACTTCAACCCTGACCTCAACCTGGACTTCAAAACATGCAGAGCTCATTTACATCACAACAGCTGAGAACCCAATAGCCGACGCACGTAGAAGTAGTGGTGTTGAACGAAGATCCATGTTGATATGTAAGTATTGTCATGTATTTACGTATTGAGTGAGTGAGTTGGGTTTAAAGCCGCTTTGAACAGCATTCTAGTTATAGCACGATGTGTCAGCTTAATGTGGGCTGAAATCCCGAAGTGGTGAAGGTCTCAGACGTTTACCACTTCGGTGAAACACAAGAGCACGGGTATGGTGCTGACAAACCTAGAGACATAATCGGGGCGAGCCGATGTAGGAGGATCAGGTCACTCACCAGGATCAAACCACTCCAGAGTGATTTCATCCTTGGATAAAATCACTCTCCCGAGGATCATAACATTTCCCTTTGCAGGATAAAACACTCCCCAGGATAACATACTCCACAGGATAAAACACTCCCCAGGATAAAACACTCCCCAGGTTGAAAATACTCCCCTTATACCTTCTGCATGCTGAATTGGCGATAAGCAGCGCCCTACCCTAATTAAATATCTATCCAAACCTTTAATATGGCTATATATTCAGTAAAAATACTTCACTTAAAAATCACTTAAAAATTACGAGAAGTCGCTGAATATTGATAGTAGTATTCGTATAATCTATTTTTCAAATATCTTATCTCTAAACTTGTTAATTTTTGTCAAACGTTTCCGAAACCTAGATATTTCCACTGAAACTGACAGGCGAGACATGGCCGCCCTCTCACTGTCAACAGAAGTGACCCAGAAAGCTACGTCACATAAGTTCGATCATTTGATTGGCTGGCTTGTCGCATACCCGGGAAAAGATGTTCGGACGATCTCTTGTGTCAAAATCCGAATAACAACAGTCCACAGTTCTTTCAGATATCTTTGCCCATGAAATGTTCATTTTATTTTTAATATTAAAAAACCCGATGAATAGTCACATATATTCAGCTTATTTACAAGGTATATGCAGGGAGTTATTCTTCAGGCTCATCGAGACAGTTCTGGGGGCGGGGCACCAATGTCCCAAAGTCGACGCACAACACGAACTGGCGTGCAGAAACGTAAATGCGTCCAGTGCTGACATGTAGGGTGGGTACATTGTGCCCAGGGTGTAATTATTAATGAGACACTAACTCAACCTTTTCAGGTACAAATTGGTTACATTTGCAGCAGAGTTCGTCATCACTTGTCCCATCACTATTAGTCCAGGTTAAATAAGGTTTCACATGGAACAAATTGCAACAGAATGTATATCGTACGAATCTAAACTATCGCCCCGATGCGCGTTGGTCCGTGAAGTTCCAGAAGTACTTGCATTAGTCGCAGTGACAGTACTAGGTTTCTTCGAAGATTTACATGGTTTAGATGTTTGCTTTCTTTTTTGGGGTGCCGATGTCTCAGGTAGATGGGAAATAGTTTTATTCAGAATTACGGTGATGGCCTCGACCCCGCCAACAGCGCTCAGAACGTTTCTCTTTTTAGTATGCACAGCTTTCTTGAAAAAAAACAGTCGTCTTGTCTTTAATGAATCCTGCTACATCATTACCCTCCGTATGTGAAGTGACAGTCTTGTCTCCAACTGGCACACATGAATCAATAACACCAGTATCAGGATGCAGCAAACGTTTAGTGGACTTAAAAACTGTTGATAGTACACAGTTGATATTCGCGTGGGAGACTTGACAAATAGGTAGACTCCACATTTGATGAAAGAGGATTGCAAATTTGTTGGTGTCAACGGCAGGTTATAAGCTCTACAACCAAGTTCACAAACCGAATGTTTATCAACTGAACTTGTGGCATTTTCCCGCATATACGTATGACGGAGGTTGTTGTAAATTTTAGCAAAAGGCCAAAAGCAGCCAACATCCATTGGCTGTAAAACATGGGACGTGTTTGCGAGCAGTACAAACAAAATAATTGGACCTGACGTGCCAATTCGATCAGTGGCATATATAGATACGTGGGATCTATGGTCATCGTACACAATAAATGGACTATCTGCAGACGCAACAGTATATTGTTGAAATATTGTTGAAAAATCTCCCTGTTTGACCAGCCAGTGTCGCTTACAGTACGTGCTGCTACATGTGTAGCAACCTGTAACGGTTGTCGTCCTTGATCTTGTTGTTGTCACTGCAGCTGTAGTAAACTGACTCGATGTGACTACTTATGATGGGGTATGATTCTCCACAAGTCCCTTTTGATCAGCATTATAAATTCGATGAGGGGCATGTCTTCTGGTTGTACATATCCATGACAAGGTGTGCCCATTTTGCAATCAGCCAGAATCCATTGCTCATTTGTTCCTGGACTGTCAAGATGCCGGCATGTAATTAAAAGATAGAGTCACTGTACACAGACAGCAGATTAGAGACCCTGATGGTCGATGCTTAGGTGTCAGCAAACACATTGATGATTGCGGAAACGGGAAATTTACTATTTTTCCGTTTTATAAATTGTATACAAGTAACAAGCAGCTGAGACTGGAAAAAGAACAAATGTTTATCCAATTGATGAAACCCAAATTGAACTCTAGAATGTATTAATAGATTTGTCATTTCAATCGTAAATGTTACACTGTTACTTTACAAATACTGTATATCTTAATTCAAATGTCTCCCTACAATTGTTAAATTACTTGGTGTCGTCGCTGGAGTGTGTAAATACATTATGACGTCACAGCTGTAATTTATGACGTCATCATAAGTATGACGTCATTATATGTCATTGTCAGTTACACTGAAGAGCTGTCATGAGACAGCGAAAGTACTATGTCTAAAACTGATATAAAGAAGATGATGGACTAAAGTGGACTTTATTATTTTATTATATATATTAACTTTAATATATATATATATATATATTGATTAACTTTACTGGAAATGTGACTCGTGGTTTTCGTATCCTCTAGGTGATAACAACAATTATGCGCAGTCAGTTTGAAAATTAGAACTTAATAACAATGTATTTCATAGGAGGAAAACATAGTTCGTCATCATTTGAATGCCGCTCACACCTGCACCATATACACACAAGCTACAAGATACAATGATTACACCCCTACTGATAACTACCGTGGCGTTTTGTACCCCTTTGAGTTACAGCATTTCCAAATAAGTAAATGAGTATTTTGCATTCTTTCCGGGGGAAGTGATTTGATTCTAAGGAGGGTTGATTGTATTCCGAATGGAGTGTTTTGGTCCTGAGAGGGGAGGAATTGGATCCTAGTATAATTTCACTCGAGTGTGTGTTACTTCTACATGTAGGATCAGTTCGCTACGGTGTGATTCTGTCCTATGACAGTGAAATGTAATGGGAGTGATTTATTTCCGCCACACTGTGATTCAAACCCACGATCATAGGTTTCTGGCGTATCTAAGTATGGAGAAAGTGCATGTCATCAGCAATATTCCAATCTTTATCACAGCGGCCTGTAACAAGGAAGTCTGGACCAGGCAAACCAGTCACCGAAAACATGATCATTGATCCGTGGCACCAGGTTACGAATACGCTTTCAGCCAAGTCACATAACCAGCTATCCGATCCGCATTTACGACACACATGAGACAACAGTGTCACAACTGTATATGAGAAAATGCTAAAATATTGGGAAACTGCAGTCAGTGTAATATCTCAATGCAACGTTTGTTTGTGATCAAGGTGTAACAACTGCAACTGCCGAATAGAACACAGAACATGATATCTGAAGAGTGAGTGAGTTAAGATTTAACGTCACATCGGCAGTATTTCAGCCATATCTTGATGATATCTGAAGACCACGACTTAATATTTCTAGGTCAGGTGAACATGATGTATTTTGTATTGTAACGTGAGAGTTAAGGATGAAGGACACGAGGTATGTTATGTGAGCAAGGTCCAAGCAAAACTTATATTGTTTCAGCCACCATAAGTGGCGTTATGTAAATCTCTGATAGAGTTATTCACGGAAAAGTCCAAAAACCAATGTCACGACACAGTAATAGGTTTTCTCCCTTTCAAAATAAGGTTGTCTCATGCCAAGGCACTGTGTTCCAATAATCATGAGTGTCACTAAACAAGATTAAAGTAAGAATGAGAACCTGGTAATAGGTTAACATGTTTAATATCAACAACTAATTGTACCAATAGACGACAATAAAAGGATAAAATGCCCAATCTGCGCTGACAAGGATCTCTGATAAATAAAATCAGCACAAACACACAAGCGGCTAAGCTAAGCAACTTTATTACAGCATATGAGAGTAGCTAAAAGAACACTTTGACAGATAATTCGTAGGCCATCCAATTAAGTCGGCTGCGACCAATTAACAACTGAGGTAATTAACTCAACACTCATAAAGAGTGAATAACCCCGAGTGGTTTAATAACGGGGAATATAAAAACACAGACGGCCTGTCCCAAAAATATATCACTTTGACTATAGAATAGACGAGAACGTCTGAATATCAAACTAGTCTAAATGACAAAAGATTCTGTCACTTTGACTGAGCAAGGAATACTAAAATTCCCCAAAAGCTTGACAGTCACGGGAAGGTCGGTTATCCACGGATTGCTAGAAAAACTTAGAATTGGAAATCCTAGTTTCTAAGTGTAGCACAATACCAGAGTAAGCCAGTACTAGATCAAATCACTTACTAACGAAACCTGAGTTTCGAAGCGACCACCCAGTAAAATATTGCGCACGGACTTCAGAGAGTCAGAGAGGACATTCTCTCCCTGACAGCCGTGGAATACAATAGTCTGAGGCCCTTAGCCAACGTGTGTTTCTAACCACGACTAACAAATCAACTACTATATCCATACTGAAGATGTAAGTATCAAAATAACACAAGCTATCCAACGGTATGATTAAAGATTTACAAGAAGCTATGTACACTTATTTTGGAGGCAAAAATGATCATAAATACATGAGAAATATCTGAGTGTATACATGGGTGGGTGGTGGTGGTTTGTTGAACGCCGCACTCAGCAATATTCCAGCTATATGACGGCGGTCTGTAACTAATCGAGTCTGGACCAGACAATCCAGTGATTAATATTATGAGCATCAATCCACGCAATTGGCATTGATGACATGCATCAACCAAGTCAGCGAGCCTGACCACCCGATCCCGTTAGTCGCCTTTTACGACAAGCATAGTCACCTTTTACGGCAAGCATGGAATGCTGAAGACCTATTCTACCCCGGAATCTTCACGGGTCGAGTATACATATGAATTCCCCTAATGTTTGAAAATCATAGTTTTACAAAAAAACATTTTCAACACATGAATAGCGATTATATGGGAGATAACAAACATCAAGTCAATACATTAGGTTACAAGAGAGTGGAATAGCAGGGTCACTTATTCTTTAACCATGAATGTAATGACACTGTACGACGACGACCGCCGGACTTTGCCAAGTGGTGTCGGAAATATAGTGATGGAGCGGTGTGAGGTCACCAGACTGTGACAAGGGTAGATTTAATGACCCGGTGACATCTTACTAACACATATCGTCCTAACTGTAGTTGTTAGAGATTAGGCCAGAGTGCTTGGATACTAACGCATTGCCGGCAGAAAATCGATGACATTTTGAGCAATGACAGTTTTTCATTGTCCTATTATTTGAAGATACCTGCCGCCCCAAAAATGTAAATAATTCAAATTAAATGTTGATTTATGTTCATAATGGCGTGTAATGGTGTAAATATCGACACGTTAAAGTCTTGGTTGTGATGGCTGTGAAATCCGACAGCTCATTTATGATACTTACAATATTGTTTGTTCTATTTCAGACAACCTAGAGATGACAAACAACATAGTATTATTTTTTGTCTGTCTCTCTGGAGGAGTTATTTGGGCGTGTACGTTCCATCATGACGTGAAGTATGGAGGGATATTTGTTAACTGTTCCAACAACAACCTATCCAATATACCAAATGATCTACCCCAAAATACAACATCGCTCAATTTGAGTACCAATCGCATTGCCGTGTTGCACATTCAACCCAACAGTTCCTTGAATGCACTGAAATACCTGGACGTCTCCAACAATAAGTTATCAAAGCTACAAAATGGGACATTTGAAAGCATTAACAGCTTAGAGGAGCTATTCTTGCAGAACAACAATCTGACGCTCGATTCCACCACCTACCCAGATGATGTCTTCCTTCCTCTACAGAAACTTCAGAAGCTCCATCTGCACAACAATGATCGAAAGTCGGAGGGTAGCTATCCAGAAACTGCTTTCGGTAAACTCAGGAGTGCTGTTGAATTGAAAATTGACACATTTGAAACCTCCACCTTTGGATCTGGATTTGCCAAAATGACCAATCTCAAAAGGCTTCTTTTGGGGTTTAATGGTTGCAAGATTCAAAGAGTGTCGAACGAAACGTTCCAATCTTTTAAACACATCCCAATTGAAGACCTTGATCTTCGTAGTTGCCCATTAGCAGCTTTAGATAAAATGTCATTTGTCCATTTGAAAAGCCTCAAGGATTTGAATCTTTCTCATGGTAAATTCGTGAGCCCAGTAGAAGCTGTTACATCTATGTATGGTTTAAATGGGCTAAACCTGACACGTATTTTACTTGATGAAATTTACAACTTCCTTCTTTTTAGGTCTGGTACTGTTGAACAAAGAATTCTTACAGGTGAAGTGCTAGATAATATACAAGGTGTATGCGTTGAGCAGTTTTCGATGAAGAAAAACAAAATAGCATGGATTAATTCTTCTATCCTAAAACCCAATTCACGTTTTTCAAACTGCCTTGTACATATTGACCTGTCTGATAATGATTTTCTGGGAGACAGGCGTATTTTATTCCAATTTGTCTTTGCGCCTCAATTAGTGTTTGTGAATATTTCAAATCACTTGAGAAGAAACGAGTTCTTCTCATCAATGCCTCAACACAACTCCTTATTGTCGGTACCAACATTCAAGATCCCGTTACCTCCAAAACTAAAGTACCTTTATATCCATGGCACGCTGAGTGACATAGGCTTCATAAACAGTAACATTGAATTTAAAAATGCTGTATCGCTCCAAAGTTTGAACCTTGCATTTAACGGATGGTATGCCTTCCAATATAATATATATGGTTTGGAGAATCTCACTGATTTAGACATCTCTGGAAACTACTTTACCAACATGAATCCTGGTGTCTTGAAAACTTTCTCAGGCCTAAGAACTCTCACGATGTCTCAAATGGGCTTTAGCAAATACTTTCTTCTTCATCAGGGACGTCAGATGTTTTTGCCATTACGTAACTTGAAAAATATTATCCTCAGTCACAATGATTTAGCAGTCATGGATCCTAAGATATTTTCTGGAAATCAACTGACTAGTATTGATTTATCCTTTAACCGTTTTGAAAGTATTCCCTTTGACATCACAACAACTCCGTCTCTGCAACGTCTTGACCTCAGTTACAACTCACTGCCTGTGTTATCAGAGTTAGAGAGGACCCTGTTTGATTCCCTAGCAGCAACAAATAACTTCACGTTGAACCTTGACAACAACCTTCTGTCCTGCGGATGTAAAAATTTAGGCTTTGTGTTGTGGCTGTTCCACACAGATGTGAAAGTTGAAAACAGATATTCTTATACCTGTGTATCTGATAGTGGCCATATTACACCCCCATCTTATATTTATGATCATTATGATGAAATATGGAGAAAATGTTCCGGACTGATTTGGCTGTCACTAACTGTTTCTGCCTTTGCACTGATTATATTATTCATGATTCTAATCTATTTGATAAACCAGAGAAAGACATTACTTCTAAATATCATTTACCGGATGTTTGGGTTGGTAAATGTTGCCAAACCGCCAAAGCGTACTGACTTTCCTAACGATGCCTACATCGGCTACAGTGACTGCGATTATCAGTACATCTGTCACACTATGAGAGAGCACCTGGAAGACAGACATGGAGTCAAACTCTTCCTGAAGGACAGAGACACCATCCCTGGAGGACAAATAGCTGACGACATCATCAACGGAATAGATTCAAGTTGGAAAACGCTCCTAATTCTAAGCAGATCATTTCTGGAAGACCAATGGTGTAGCTTTACTGTTAATCGTGTTGTGTATTCCTCCTCTATACTACCCGCAGGAAGTGTCGTTCTTGTGCTGTTTGAGGACGTGAGACAAGGGGACATCTCCCCAGCCCTGCTGAATGTTGTGGATGAGAGATACATCTTCCATGTAAAGAAGTTCATGGGCGATCAGCGAAGGCTTTGGAGAGACGTTAGTCAGTGTATCATGACTGAATAGGAAATATAAAGAAAATTGTTACTCGCTGATCAGTGGATATGCTATGTTTGTTGTACATACAACCTGAGACTAACATACATTTTTTTGGCCAATGTGGCAAATGTTTTTAAACTTGTGAAATTAGGAATGTCCTAATAAAAAAATCTTTTTATATTAGTATCAGTTTTATTTTCTCTTGAGTACGCATTGATTTCGGAGTCCAGGCCACTTTGTTTTATATTTGCTGGGTGAATCTCACGATTCTGCTCTCAATATTTCCGGGTCATCATGTCATATTAGCAGTGATTCATATTCCAAAAGGTTTAACTAACATATTGACACAAACACGGAAGCTTTTGGTTCATGTAGTCCTACAGTTTCCGACTGTATCGTGAGATAGTTCCCTGGTTAAGTCTCTACTTGACACATGCGGAACATTTTAACTCCAGGTTACCACATTTCCGCGGTGAGCACTGTTTTCTCTACTTTGGACCCCGTTGCTTTGTGATAAACATGAACAAAAAGACGAATTATTTATCGTACATTATTTACAATATTGTCATTTCCGACGATAGTTTTTTTCGTGTCAATAAGTATTCACAATATGAGAGACATTGTTAGAAAATAATATTTCTGGAATCTTTAATAATTTTCTTGGTTTTTAATCGCCACGGTAATAATAATAATATTTCGAGGATCTGTTCGTTCAGCACCTCAGAAATATTTGAGTTGCAGATCAAGTACATGAACATTAAGCTTTATGTCTCTTTATCCATTACTGTACAGGGGGCACGGGTGGCCCAGTCGTCTAAGGCGCCGCGATTCGCTGTGCAGAGTTGCGTCCCTTGGGCACGCCAGAAACCTATGATTGTGGGTTCGAATCCCGGTTCGCCCCAATTATGTTTCATTACTGTACACGTAAAAACATTGAACATTAATACGACAATATGTATGTGTGACAAGGTTAAAGGTCAGCTTAAGCAGGTTTTCAATGTTTATTAAATGGAGACTTTAATTATAATAATGAAATTAACTCTGTCCCACAGGTAAATCCCTGGTATAATTGATAGAGCGTCTGTTGGTGTTCGATCCCCTGGCCGCCTCAAATCAAAAGACAATAAAATATGGTACTTGTTACCCTGCCTGGCGCTTTGAATAAAGGGGATAAAACAGCGACTTGTTGACTCGGAGTCAGAATGGTGTGTCTAAGTGGGGGTATCCATGTTAAAATGTAAAACTGGCACACGTCAAGACTAGAACAGTAGACACACATACACTTTCATCACGTCGTCGCTATATGGGTGAAATAATCGTGAACGCGACGTTTAACCCTATTACACCTCGCGTTAATAGTGTTTTCTTGCTTTCGTTATTAAAAATGAAACCAATACTACTTACATCATCCGGGTCCCGAAAGAAACCTTTTTTATACTAATATTCACGTGAACCTATCTTTTCTTAATTTTTTTCTCACTGTATGTGTGACGCAGAAATAAGCTGAAGTATACAGTCATAAAACGCCTCTGTATTGATCCAACGTCATTTGAGCGCAGTTTTCTCAAGTACGGGACATATTAGGAAGACATTATTTGTTAACAAACGGTGGTGAAAACAGCTGTCAGTTGTGTGTCAGAAGAATGGGAAATTTATGAAAGGGAAATAACTCCTCCCGACTAAAGAAATGCAGTAAAGCCTCATAAAATGTTATAACAATAACTTGTTATAATCTCGCTTATGCCTACATTCATTGCCGAAGTGTGGGGAAATAACAACAGGAGGGTTGATTGTGGAAGAAATGGGCACAGCCTTATTTATGAAGCAAACGTACATAACATTGATTCGCGCACCGATTAGGTCGTTAGATATTAGCGATGTATTTTAATCCAAGAATACCCAACAGGAAATAATTTAAGGAAACTTGGTTCAGAGTGGGCGTTGACAAAATAACTCAAGAGTCCTTGCAGAGAATTGATGAAAATATCGCGTTGACAAACAAACTTCTTAGTTGTTTATGTTCGTTTTTAAGTGAGTGACTGGATGAGTATCGTTTTACGCCAGCTTTAGCAATATCCCAGCAACACACCATGGGGGACACCAGAAATGGGCTTCCAATATTGTACCCATGTGGGTAATCGAAACCGGGTCTTTGACGTGACAAGCGATCGCTTTAACCAATTAGGCTTCCCGGCCCCCCACACCCCATCTTTTAAAACAAAACCCAGACAATGAATGAATTGCCGAGAAATTGGGGGCCAACATTTTGTACCCAGATGGGGAATCGAACCCCGGTCATCGGCTTGAGGAACACAATTTACAAAACACACACAACAATGCTAATTATCACTTGTGATAAATGTGGAAATGTGAGGAATGTTGTACAATCAAAGAGCAAATGTGGTTATGTTTCAATGAGATAGAACTTGCACCTTCAGTATAGTCTAGTGAGTGAACCACAAAAGCGCTGCAAAACCCTCCCCAATTTCCCTCATCCACGGGCTTTCTTCGACCCTCTCTAATTTCCCGAACCCCGGACTTTCTGTGGCACTCCCCAATTCCTTCATCCCAAGGCTCCCCCCCCCCCCCCCTCCACTATTTGCCCTCACTTCCGGGCTTTTTTTCGGCCCTTCCCAATTTACCCACCCCGGACTTTCTTCAGCCCTCCCTAACTTCCCTCATCCACGGACTTTCTTCAGCCCCTCCCTAACTTCCCTCATCCACGGACTTTCTTCAGCCCTCCATAATATCCCTCATCCCCGGACTTTCTTCGGCCCTCGCCAATTTACCTCACCCCGGACTTTTTTCTGCCCTCCCCAATTTATCTCATCCACGGACTTTCTTTAGCCCTCCATAATATCCCTCATCCCCGGACTTTCTTCGGCCCTCGCCAATTTCCCTCATCCCCGGACTTTTTCGGCCCTCGCCAATTTACCTCACCCTGTACTTTTTTCTGCCCTCCCCAATTTATCTCACCCCGAACTTTCTTCAGCCCTCAATAATTACCCTCATCCCCGGACTTTCTTCGGCCCTCTGTAATTTCCCTCACTTACAGACTTTTTTTGGCCCCCCTTAATTGCCCTCTCTTCGGGGCTTTCTTCGGCCCTCCCCAATTTACCTCACCCCGGACTTTCTACAGCCCTCCCTATTTTCCCTCACTTACGGACTTTTTTCGACCCTCCCTAATTGCCCTAACTTCCGGGCTTTCTTTGGCCCTCCCTAATTGCCCTCACTTACGGACTTTCTACAGCCCTCCCTAATTGCCCTCACTTCCGGGCTTTCTTTGGCCCTCCCTAATTGCCTTCTCTTCCGGGCTTTCTTCGGCCCTCCCCAATTTACCTCACCCCGGACTTTCTTCAGCCCTCCCGATTTTCCCTCATTCCCGGACTTTCTTCAGCCCTCCCTAATTTTTCTCATCCCCGGACTTTCTTCAGCCCTCCCTAATTTCCCTCATTCCCGGACTTTCTACAGCCCTCCATAATTGCCTTCACTTCCGGTCTTTCTTCGGGCCCTCCCAAATTTACCTCACCCCGGACTTTCTTCAGCCCTCCCTAATTTTTCCTCACCCCCGGACTTTCTACAGCCCTCCATAATTGCCTTCACTTCCGGGCTTTCTTCAGCGCTCCCCAATTTACCTCACCCCGGACTTTCTTCAGCCCTCCCTAATTTCCCTCATCTCCTGATTTTCTACAGCCCTCCCTTTTTTCCATCACTTCCAGACTTTCTACAGCCCTCCCTAATTGCCCTCACTTCCGGGCTTTCTTTGGCCCTCCCTAATTGCCCTCACTTACGGACTTTCTTCGGCCCTCCCTAATTGCCTTTACGTACGGACTTTCTTCGGCCCTCCCTAATTGCCCTCACACCCGGACTTTCTTCAGCCCTCCCTAATTTTCCTCATCCCCTGACTTTCTATATACAGCCGTCTTTAGTTTCCCTCATCCCCGGACCCTTTTCAGCACTCCCTAATTTTTTTCTCATGCCCGGACTTTCTTCAGCCCTCCCGATTTTCCCTCACTTACGGACTTTTTTTGGCCCCCCTTAATTGCCCTCTCTTCGGGGCTTTCTTCGGCCCTCCCCAATTTACCTCACCCCGGACTTTCTACAGCCCTCCCTATTTTCCCTCACTTACGGACTTTTTTCGACCCTCCCTAATTGCCCTAACTTCCGGGCTTTCTTTGGCCCTCCCTAATTGCCCTCACTTACGGACTTTCTACAGCCCTCCCTAATTGCCCTCACTTCCGGGCTTTCTTTGGCCCTCCCTAATTGCCTTCTCTTCCGGGCTTTCTTCGGCCCTCCCCAATTTACCTCACCCCGGACTTTCTTCAGCCCTCCCGATTTTCCCTCATTCCCGGACTTTCTTCAGCCCTCCCTAATTTTTCTCATCCCCGGACTTTCTTCAGCCCTCCCTAATTTCCCTCATTCCCGGACTTTCTACAGCCCTCCATAATTGCCTTCACTTCCGGTCTTTCTTCGGGCCCTCCCAAATTTACCTCACCCCGGACTTTCTTCAGCCCTCCCTAATTTTTCCTCACCCCCGGACTTTCTACAGCCCTCCATAATTGCCTTCACTTCCGGGCTTTCTTCAGCGCTCCCCAATTTACCTCACCCCGGACTTTCTTCAGCCCTCCCTAATTTCCCTCATCTCCTGATTTTCTACAGCCCTCCCTTTTTTCCATCACTTCCAGACTTTCTACAGCCCTCCCTAATTGCCCTCACTTCCGGGCTTTCTTTGGCCCTCCCTAATTGCCCTCACTTACGGACTTTCTTCGGCCCTCCCTAATTGCCTTTACGTACGGACTTTCTTCGGCCCTCCCTAATTGCCCTCACACCCGGACTTTCTTCAGCCCTCCCTAATTTTCCTCATCCCCTGACTTTCTATATACAGCCGTCTTTAGTTTCCCTCATCCCCGGACCCTTTTCAGCACTCCCTAATTTTTTTCTCATGCCCGGACTTTCTTCAGCCCTCCCGATTTTCCCTCACTTACGGACTTTTTTCGGCCCTCCCTAATTGCCCTCACTTCCGGGCTTTCTTCGGCCCTCCCTAATTCCCCCCACTTACGGACTTTCTTCAGCCCTCCCTAATTTTCCTCA